GGTATTTAATATTATGGTTTTGCAACAACTTCATGAGGGATATTAATTTTTTGCGGGCCAATATAGTGTGCTGTGAGAGATCAGTAAACAGCGAGAACCCAGTATAGGGTTGTCAGGAATGGACTTGCCAATAATGGTGGGACTCACCTGCCTTGTGGGCTGCAGTACCAGGGCTGGCCAGCGGGTGCTCTCAGCAATCAGAGACTCACCCCTGCAATCAGCCAAACACCTGAAGCTGATTGCAGGGGTTGTATTTAAGGAATGGCCAGACTCACAGTCAGGGCCTTGGTGTGTGTTTTTCCATGGACCCCTGTACCTTGTATCCTGTATTCCTGTTCCTGTCTGACTTGTTGCCGACCCTGCCTGATCCTGACCTCTGCTGACTTCTCCTGCTTGATCCCTGGCTTGTGACCCTGACCATTCTCTGCCCGACCCTCTGTACCGCGCTGCAAGTTACTGAACCCAGCTTGTGACCCGACCACTCTCCCGCCTGTTCCTGGTACTCCGTTTGCCCGTTTGCTACTGACCCGGCCTGCCTGACTACTCTTTGTATTGTATATATTGTTATCGGTGGGTGGTTTGGTTTGTTTGCACTGTGTTTATGTTTGGTTTTGCACTGCGTTTTGTATTGTTAGTCTTAATAAATTATATTGTTTATACCATATCTGAAGCCTGCGTTTCCCTGTGTCAGTCCACACCCCTCTGGTCATACCTGGAGCCCTGACAAGGGTGTAGGAAGCGGATTATTCTTCCGTGCGAATACCATCAATTCTTCTTTAACATGATAAAAGTGAATCTGCGCTATTATATCCCGTGGGATATGATCGGGAAGGAGGGAGGGCTTTGGCAGTCTATGTGCCCTATCCCCCACCACTTCCCTATTTGGAGTATGCGGCAGAAGGGTAGAAGTCATTTGTTGGATGTACTTGCGAAGATCCGTGACAGGGACCTTTTCACTGACTCCGCTAAATGTTATATTATTTCTGCGGGAGCGGTCCTTCAGATCCACCATCTTTACTTTTAAAGCTTTCAAGTCATCCTCTACGTCGTTGTGAGCGTCAACTAACTCGTTATGAGCTGTAGCGAATTCGCCCACCTTAGTTTCTATATGTGACACCCTCTCACCCAAACTTTCAACTTCCTTATTGACTTGTGACATGAAGCTCATCATATCTTTATGCAGGGACCCCTGAAGCGTAACTAACATATATCTTTCATAACTGCAGCTGTGAGCGGTAAGGACTCTGCAGGATAGTCCTCCAGATGTTCTATAAATTCTCTTGTGTTATTGTGTGAGAAAGAATCAGAGGAGTGCTCACCCACTTGATGGAGGAACAGCGCTGCTTGTGCTGCTGTGGGCTGCTATTAAGGGTTTGATAGACCTCTTGTGTTTCTTTAAAGAGGATCTGTGACCAGCAATATGTTATCACATGCGAAGCTATTAACCCCCTATATGGCAATAATAAAGTTCAAAGAAAAAAGTGTAAAGTAACACACTGTAAATGAAAAAACACACAAAACACATTTTAAAGCCCCCAGTTCCCGTATACATGAGCAATTGCAAGGGTTGGGTGCGGTTATGTAGGAAAACATCAATCACACTACACATTGTACATATCTCTGCACACACCAGAGGGAGAGGAATAACTCGAGGGCCATCATTCATGGTTCACTATATAAACTGATGACCTGTAAAGGCTTTTAAAGCGTCACCTATGGACAATTTTTGGTACTGAAGTTTGTCACCATTTCACAAGCACATGACATTTTTAAAGCTTGACATGTTTGGTATCTATATACTTGATGCCAACCTCATCTTTCATTTTTCATCAAATTGGGTCATATATTGTGTTTTTCTGCACTGGAATTATCGTTAGTGTGTTTTTTTACTGAAAATATGCATTTCATAGACAGCTGTGCTAATATTGTGTGACAAAAACCACCACCATTTTATTCTCCAGGGTCTCTGCTTTCAGAAAATAAGAAAAAGTTTTTGGGGGGGCTTTAAATAATCTTCTGGCCTAACAGTGTGAATGTAATCATGTGCATAAACAAGCAAAATCAACTGGCAGCAAAACACACAACAGCAACAATGTATACAATTATCATCAAATCTATAGTAGCAACTAATGGCCTAAGAAGCAAAGCCACCATATTACTCAACCAAGTTCCAACTAAACCCATCCAAGAAAATGGATCCCACTTCCCCCCACCCAGGTGACTGTTGGAACTCCTTTACCTTGTGTAGATATCCCCTTCTGAGATCCTCATGATCTAATATAAATGTACAACACTCTCTGACACCAGTTTGTAGACTCCACCTTGATCTTCCGAGAGATAGTCAGCCGCCATGCAGTTCTGTGACACCACCTTAGGTGATGGAGCCACTTCTGCTGTCAGCTCTGCTATACCATCAATGGTGTCATTGGTTATCTGATCCATGACTCCAGTACACCGTTCATCTTACTTATCTTAGATTACTTAGATTCCCCATCCCGTCTATGAAGGGCTCACTGCATAAAACATCTCCACTCCAGAGAAAATGTTTCTTCTCACTGGAAGGCCAGGGGAGTATTGGGAGAAATTGAGGCTTTCCCTTACAGATATGGGGGAGGGGCAACATACCTAAAGTACAGCTATGGGTGGAATTGAAGGGAAAGACATTTTAGGGCGCTCCTTCCACACAAGAAGCAATGTTATCTGGAAGGACTAGGAATCCATTGGACCAATGGGGATTAAACATTCTGCAATACATTGAGACACCATGAAATGTTACTGGCCTGTGATTGGCTCTCCTATTGTTAGTGAAGTGAGACTCCCCTTGTCGGTGTATTAATCGTCATAATGGAAAGAAACCATGTGAAATGTTTCCCCCCACAAAACCAAAAAGGTGACCCCCTTGGGTAGGTACCCATCCTACTATTCCTGATATGAGTTTGTAGTCCCTGCTACTACAGGAAACATGCGGGCGATCATTTACACCTTTTACAGCAGGACAGTAAATATCAGAACACACATTCAAACATCAGTTCCAACAACAGAAGGAAGTCTGCTAACTGGCAGACTGACAACACCAGAATGTGTCGTGCGCTGGAGCGAATGTGGCGTAAATCTCACCAAGCATTCGCCCGATATAAATCTGCTTTCTTCACATACAATTCCTCCCTCCATGCTGCAGACAAGCCTACTTTTTCATTCTCATCAATACCTTGTCTTCCAGTCCTCGTCGTCTCTTCTCTACTTCTTAACTCAGCTTTCTCCACCTCCACCCACAAATCATTGATCATTCTGTTTTAAATCATTTCCCTGTTCATTCCTGTCACAGTAGTCTGCCTCATTTCAGATTTCCCACCTTCACTGTAAGGGTGACAACCCTGATCAAACTTCCAGGAACATTTTCCTCTTTTGCAGCGTTGTCACCCTGTACAGAGGTCTTAGAAGGTTTCTCAGAAGCCCACAACACTACCTGCCAACTGGATCCTGTCTCACAACTTCTACAGCACCCTCTTCAACAGGTTTCCTATAAGGTCCCCTCACCCCCACATCTTCAATGACAACTGACAGTTTCCACTGAGCCCCTCTAAAGCCCAGCATCACTCCCATACTTTGCCCCCTCCCTGGACCTCCAACCTGAACAACTTAAGACCCATCTCCCCTGCTCTTGTTTACCTTCTACACTTGGAAAAGAACGCTTAGTCTACAATCGCCTGAGCTCCTAACTCACCGACAACAACCTTTCACCCTTTAAAATCTGGCTTTGCTTCACTACACTCCACTGAAAAACTTTCACTAATGTTACAGAAAAAACTGTTATCCTAATTAAAGATTGCACTATTTACTCCCAATCCATGTGGCCATTATCCGTAGTCATCTCAACCAATGGCCACTACTCCCAATGTACTCATTTCCAGAGACAAGAAGTGCTTTTTGCAAACTTTACCCAAATGAGAGACCTGTCCTTTCATATACATGAAATCCTGAACCAATGGCCACTAGTTTCAGTCCCCAGAAGTGGCAGGAATATGACCGCACATAAGAACTTTGTAACTTCAGATCTCTTGCAGTTGTGCTGTGTGAATATTCTAAGGAGATGAGTAATAGCTGGACAGAGGAAGAAGACAAAAGGACATCCATTCTTCACCTGATGGTATCTCCTAGACTTTCAGCAAAACAGATGGAACACAAGTGGCAGCTGAACTTAAATGGTACTGTTGAATGCATCCCTCCTCTCCAGCAGAAAATCAGTGTTGGAAGGGGTCTGGCGGCTTCCGTCCTTGGAGTTGCTTTTTCACTGACCAGAGACTTCATCTTGGGATGGTTTTTCAAGCTACAGACCTGCCTGCAAAGCTGTTCTATGAGGAGAAAACATGGAAAGGAAGCACTGATCATGGGAGAGGAGATGGAACATGTAATGAGAGGTGTGGAGAAGGTGGGCTTAGCTGGAGCCCTCAACCCCTGGCTGATGATATATCAATAGTCAGAAGAACCTGGAATGGACTCTCCCACTGAGGCTTCAGTAGGCTTGGTAAGATACAATTGTGCCCCTCCCCTCTCAGGTACTGAGGCAGTGTTGGTCATCCATAGCTCAGGATCTGGCATGAAGAAAACATCAGGGAACACATCATGCATTGGGTGAATGATGAAAATGCATTACATGTTCCTCAAAGCTCCTTATCTGTCCTTTCAGAACCAAATCCAGGGAAACAAGTTCAGTCATTGGTGCTTATCTAAAAAAAATGTCAAAAGGTAAAATATTCACAGACCTTCTTCAGTTGTGTTTCTGATGGACATAATCACTAAACACCTCAATGCACTCAGTCATTACATTTGTTTGTTTTTTTAGAGTAACATTTTATCTGTTTACTTCTTCTCTAGCTTGTGTGGATTCTGTACACTGGACACTACTTTAATCTCTCCCTTTTCTTCTTCTCTGCAGCTGAAATTAGTGAATCCTCTGATGATAGATTAGCCCGGCATTAACTGTAAAAGCTTTGCCCCATTCAGCATGTCAGCATTAAAATGGCTTCTCTCAAGTGTGATCTCTTCAAGTGTCTGATAAGATGTGACTTCACTGTAAAAGCTTTGCCACATTCTGAACACTGATATGGCTTCTCTCCAGAGTGAATCTTCTGGTGTGTGACAAGGTTTGACTTCATTCTAAAAGCTTTGCCACATTCTGGACACTGATATGGCTTCTCTCCAGTGTGAACCCTCTGGTGTCTGATAAGATGTGACTTCTCTGTAAAAGCTTTGCCACATTCTGGGCACTGATATGGCTTCTCTCCAGTGTGAACCCTCTGGTGTGTGATAAGACTTGACTTCTGTGTAAAAGCTTTATCACATTCAGAACACTGATATGGCTTCCCTTCAATGTGAACTCTCTGGTGTGCAATAAGACTTGACTTCTGTGTAAAGCTTTGTCACATTCTGAACACTGATATGGCTTCTCCCAGTGTGAATCCTCTGGTGCCTGATAAGATGTGACTTCTGTGTAAAAGCTTTATCACATTCTGAACACTGATATGGTTTCTTTCCAGTGTAAATCTTCTGGTGTATGAAGATGTGACTTCTGTGTAAAAGCCTTATCATATTCAGAACACTGATATGGCTTCCCTCCAGTGTGAACCCTCTGGTGTATGATAAGACTTGAATTCTGTGTAAAAGCTTTGCCACAGTCAAAACACTGATATGGCTTCTCTCCAGTGTGAATCCTCTGGTGTGTGATAAGATTTGACTTCTTTGTAAAAGCTTTATCACATTCAGAACACTGATGTAGCTTCCCTCCAGGGTGAATCCTCTGGTGTGTGAGAAGATATGACTTCAGTGTAAACTCTTTGCCACATTCAGAACATTGGTATGGCTTCTCTCTAGTGTGAACCTTCTGGTGTGTGATAAGATGTGACTTCTGTGTAAAATCTTTGCCACATTCAGAGCACTGATATGGCTTCTCTCCAGTGTGAATCCTCTGGTGTCTGATAAATTGTGACTTAGATCTAAAAGTTTGAACACATTCGGAACACTGATATGGCTTCTCTCCAGTGTGAATCCTCTGGTGTATAATAAACTTTGATTTTGATGTAAAAGCTTTGCCACATTCAGGACACTGATATGGATTCTCTCCAGAGTGAATCCTCTGGTGTCTGATAAATTCTGACTTAGATCTAAAAGTTAGAACACATTTGGAACACTGATATGGTTTCTCTCCAGTGTGAATCCTCTGGTGTATGATAAGGTTTGACTTTGATGTAAAAGCTTTGCTACATTCAGAACACTGATATGGCTTCTCTCCAGTGAGATGTTTTGCCTCCATTGTAAAATGCTCAAACAAGAAATAGTTTGAAATGACTCCTCTTATGTATACTTGGGTTGGACTTTATTGTAAAGCCATTGTCACTTCCAGAACACTGAAATGACTTCTCTCTTCCTCTGAGGCTGGATCAATGTTAAAGAGGATCCAAAACCTTTATGACTTTTAGAACGTGGATATGACTTGTGTCCTGTGTGAATCCTCCAGTGAACTGCAATAAAGACTTTCAGTCAATTAGGACAACCCATATGTCTTGTTTCCATGTGACTTAGTTGTATTTAGGAAGACCAACATGACCGAAAACTTGGTTCATCCATCCACCTGCATAAAAAAGAAATAAATATCAGAATTCTATATAAAGGACTAAATAAAGGTTCTGTTAATTATTAAAAATGTATTTTATACATAGAAAGCATATGTACAGCAAGATATCATTTTTACATCAAATATTTTTTAGTAAGAGTTTATAAGTGTGCACAGTATTCCCAACATTCAGCCCAGACAATGGAGTCATACATTCTCACGTATAGGTAGTTGTGGCACTGTTACAGATCATACAGAACAATAACTTGCTTTGTCTATGGTGTCACTTTTACCTTTTATAAATAAATGAACAGAGAAAAGAAGAAACAACCTAGAACAATTCAGCTGTACACGGCAAGTAACTCCCCCCAGTACATACATAGATAGCTGACACCAATCAATGGGGCCCGTGTCTACCCCAAGTATTGGTCTGTAAAGTAGTTACCTAGTAGGAGGATGGAACTGGATCGGTCCTTTTTTTTGTGCCTAAAAAAGTTTAACCTGTAAAGGTCTCTGAAGAATTACCTGGGGGGAGCAAGACCAGGAATATCCAGCCAGTTCTGCCAGAGAGACATACAGTATCTCACAGAAGTGAGCCCACCCCTCACATTTTTGTAAATATTTTATTATGCTATAATTATACAGGATTTATATAGCACCATTTATATAGATCATTGGTGAGTTTTAGTAGGGTAGTTTCAGTGGAGTGTAGTGAGGGAAAGCCAGACTGTAAAGGGTCAAGAAGGTTGTTGTCAGTGAGGTGGGAGGAGCTTAGGCGATTGTAGACTAAGAGTTCTAGGAGTTCAAAGGTAAATGGCAGCAGGGAGATGGGTCTTAAGTTGTTCAGCCTGGTGGGTTCCAGGGAGGGCTTTTTAAGTATGGGAGTGATCTGTGCATGCTTTAGAGGGGAGGGGAAGGCACCAGTAGAGAGGGAGAGATTGAAGATGTGAGTGAGGGAGCATACCATGGAAGAAGAGGGTGACCGTAGTAGTTGTGAGGGGTCAGGATCCAGGGGGCAGGTAGTGAGACGGGCTTCTGAGAAAACCTTAGTGACCTCTTCAGTAGTGGCGAGGTCAAAAGAGGAAAGTGTAACGGAACCGGTACCCGACCGCACTTGGGTATATTCCGTTATACCGCAGCTTCCCCTGTCCGAACACCATCCACGGACCACACCCTTGAAATCCCTCAGGAAATAGACAGCACCCAGCTCTTCCTAAAACAGGAAGCCAACTCTTTTTATTTTAACACAAAACACAGGATATATACAGAGGGCGGGGAAACACAACCAGGAACAGGAAATACATCATCACCCCTCCCCACCCCTCCTCCCACCAAGACACAGAACAATGGGATGAAGCACATGGCAAAGGACATTGACCAACCCCCACACCAATACACAAACAGTACATCCCATAATAGTTGGCTGGACAGGAAGGCACAGCACAATGGGGGGTAGCACATGGCAAACAGACAATGGACAGCCATGTGGCCTAGACAAAGGAACACACACTATACACAAGACTAAGACATTCACATACACACCCTGCACCCCTTAACAGGCACAGGGTGCCTTAAACATAATGGGAATTCGGGAAGATGATACAGAGGTCCCCCCTCCCCCAAAAGTCACTCCCGTCACAGATAGTGTTGAGGGAGGTTTAGTATAAGTATTATATCTTTTCATGTGACAACACTGAAGAAATGACACTTTGCTACAATGTGAAGTAGTCAGTGTACAACTTGTATAACATGTAAAATTTGTTGTCCCCTCAAAATAACTCAACACACCACCATTAATGTCTAAACCAAAGATAACAAAAATGAGTCCACCCCTAAGCAAAAATGTCCAAATTTGGGCCCAAAATGTCAATTATTTGTGTGGCCGCCATTATTTTCCAGCACTGCCTTAACCCTCTTGGGTATGGAGTTCACCAGAGCTTCACAGGTTGCCACTGGAGTCCACTTCCACTCCTCCATTATATCACGATGCTGGTGGATGTTAGAGACCTTGCGCTCCTCCAACTTCCATTTGAGGATGCCCCACAGATGCTCAGTAGGGTTTAGGTCTGGAGACATGCTTGGCCAGTCCATCACCTTTACCCTCAGCTTCTTTAGCAAGGCAGTGGTGGTCTTGGAGGTGTGTTTTGGGTCGTTATGTTGGAATACTGCCCTGTGGCCCAGTCTCTGAAAGAAGGGGACCATGCTCTGCTTCAGTATGTCACAGTACATGGCATTCATGGTTCTCTCAATGAACTGTACAAATGTAACTGACAAACCGAATACAGAGATGTTTCTTAGCTCAACAACTTAAACTCACTGTCATGTAACTTGACTACTTTCATACTAGCCATGTGTTAGTCACTACAGCCAACTTGCAAACATTGGACTGATACATACTTTGGAAAGACTTTGATTCATGGAATTAGGCCCCCCTCACTTTCAAAGGGGGGGAGGAGGGAGGGAAGGGAAGAGAAAGGAAAAGTTTGCCATCCTGAATGTTGGTTACTGAATTGCCATTTAACACATGGTGCTATTATTTTATTTACTTGATGTTAACTGTGGAAATGACTACATTTGATTGTTATAGGGGTTGTTTTGATTTTTGTTCTCCCAATTGTAATATCCACTACCCCTCATTCTCTGTATTCCTCGTATCTTATATATTCAATAAAACTGTATTTTGGGGGGAAAAAAATAAACAAATATACTCCAAAACACATTCTGCTACTCCTCTAGAGTATGGGGACACCACATGTGTGACTGTTTCACATAGGGGGACCAAAATCAAAGGAGCACCTTCAGGCTGAGGGCATAAATTGCACATAATAAAATTTCCTGACAATCTATCACATTTTTGGAGGCCCTGGGAAACCAGAACAGTGCAAACACCCACAAAATGACCCCGTTTTGGAAACCAACCACCTCAAGGTATTTTCTAAGAGGCATGGTGAGTCTGTTTAGGACTTATGTTGGCCTCCATATGCGTGGTCAGAGAATATAGCTTAGTGTATCATCACCTATAGCAGTCCCTGTTCCTATAAGCCCTTAGCACCTTATCCCACTGGTATGTGGCTGCCCCCAGGAATGCCATGTTCATTGGCTTTGAAGTGAATGAGGCTAAAGAAAGGAAGAAGAAAAAAAAATTCCTGTTGTTCAAGGAGTGCAGTCGTCCACAGGGGATGGCTGGGACTGGTGTATTGCAGGAACATAGTCAGTCGGATGTGCAGGAACATGGTGAATAAAAAGGCAAATCAGGAGCACTGATGCTAGTGACATTGTGGCTGTTGTGGTGGTGGTCAGAGAACTGTGAGTGGCTGCACCATTAGGGCCCATTCATACATGAGGTACAGAAACAGTAAACCTTGTGGTTGAGTCTCGATTTTTACCACCTCCCAACCGATACTCCCTTTATATCCAGAGGCTGTGGCTGGGGTGTACACCTGCCATGACTTTTATGGTTCACTTCACATATGTGGAAGGAATTATACTCCCTTTACACCTGCCAATCATGACCCATTTCAGTGAATGGAGCTGCATGTGTGGGGTCCAGGTGTTGAGGTGACAATACAATGCTTCCTTACGTCCCATCAAATGCTCTCTGAAAAGCAATCGGAACATGGATGGCTCTTCAGAGAGCATTGCAAATGTGAGCCCTTATGGTGACACAATCTTTGCTCTGGCGGTGACCACGGACACTGTAACTGGTGTGGAGGTGATCGGGGATGCTGTAACCGGCATGGAGGTGATCGGGGATGCTGTAACCGGCGTGGAGGTGATCGGGGATGCTGTGTAACCGGCGTGGAGGTGATCGGGGACGCTGTAACCGGCGTGGAGGTGATCGGGGACGCTGTAACCGGCGTGGAGGTGATCGGGGACGCTGTAACCGGCGTGGAGGTGATCGGGGACGCTGTAACCGGCGTGGAGGTGATCGGGGACGCTGTAACCGGCGTGGAGGTGATCGGGGACGCTGTAACCAGCGTGGAGGTGATCGGGGACGCTGTAACCGGCGTGGAGGTGATCGGGGACGCTGTAACCGGCGTGGAGGTGATCGGGGACACTAGATATGCTTTCCAGGTGCAACATCATAGGAATTTAGGGTTAGACAACTCTCTGTCCTTCAAAACTTGGCTCTGAATAGCCATGCTGTCACAGGCAGAGGTGATAAACAGGGTATGACAGTGATCGGTATGTACAGGAGAGGAGTGTGGGGGGTATGACAGTGATCGGTATGTACAGGAGAGGAGTGTGGCGGTATGCCAGTGATGGGTATGTACAGGAGAGGAGTGTGGGGGTATGACAGTGATCGGTATGTACAGGAGAGGAGTGTGGCGGTATGCCAGTGATGGGTATGTACAGGAGAGGAGTTTGGAAGTATGACAGTGATCGGTATGTACAGGAGAGGAGTGTGGGGGGCATGACAGTGATGGGTATGTACAGGAGAGGAGTGTGGAGGTATGACAGTAATGGGTATGTACAGGAGAGGAGTGTGGAGGTATGACAGTGATGGGTATGTACAGGAGAGAGTACGGAGTATGACAGGAGGTATGGACAGTGATGTATGGTGATGGGTATGTACAGGAGAGGAGTGTGGAGGTATGACAGTGATCGGTATGTACAGGAGAGGAGTGTGGAGGTATGACAGTGATCGGTATGTACAGGAGAGGAGTGGGGAGGTATGACAGTGATCGGTATGTACAGGAGAGGAGTGGGGGGTTATGACAGTGATGGGTATGTACAGGAGAGGAGTACGGGGTTATGACAGTGATGGGTATGTACAGGAGAGGAGTACGGAGGTATGACAGTGATCGGTATGTACAGGAGAGGAGTACGGAGGTATGACAGTGATCGGTATGTACAGGAGAGGAGTACGGAGGTATGACAGTGATGGGTATGTACAGGAGAGGAGTACGGAGGTATGACCGTTCCCAGGGAGGAGTATCTCAGGAAGGGTCTATACTCCACCATAACTCTGGTTCTCGGAGTGTCAGGTCCCAGCGGGTTCTCCTGGTGTCTCTCCTGTTATTCTGTCTCGGACACATCAGAGGAACATGGTGGGAGATCGGCCTGAATGTCCTTCCTAGGAAGGAATACCGGAGCCTTTCTGAGGCCCATTTAATGGCCGGCAATGAGGAGGAAACCAACACTGAGAAGTAGATGCTGAGATATATACAGCACGGGGCAGCACAGTGGCTGAGTGGTTAGCACTTCTGCTGGCAGTTCTCGGGTTGTTGGTACAAATCCCAACCATGGCACCTCCTGCCTGTTCTTCCTGTGTGGGTTTCCTCCAGGTACTCCGGTTTCTTCCTACATTACAAAGACTGGGAGGTGAATTGGCTCTGGTCTAAATTGTCCCTAGTATGTGTATGTATGAATGTGAGTTATTATTATTATACAGGATTTATGGCGCTAACAGTTTGCTCAGCGCTTTACAATATAACGGGAGACAATACAGCAACAATACAGTTCAATACAAGAGGGATTTGAGGGCCCTGCTCCTTGGAGCTTACAATCTAAGAGGGAGGGGCTAGTGGTACAAAAGGTAATAACTGTGGTGGATGGACTGGTAGGAGGAGTAGAAGATTCCATTACTAGCTGAGGGCAGGATAGGCTTCCCTGAAGAGATAGGTTTTCAGAGAATGCCTAAAAGTGAGCAGAGTAGGCAATAGTTGGACAGTTTGGGGTAGAGAGTTCCAGAGGATGGGGGAAGCTTTGGAGAAGTCCTAGAGACTAGCATGGGAGGAGGAGACAAGGGAGCTAAAGAGCAGGAAGTCGTGTGAGCAGCGGAGAGTACAGTTTGGGTGATGTAATTTGGGACAGAGTTATAAATGGCTTTATATGGTATTGTTAATGTTTTGAATTTTATCCGTTGGGCAACGGGAAGCCAGTGGAGGGATTGGCAGAGAGGGGTGGAGGACACTAAGTGGAGGCCAGAGCAGGGATTGGCAGAGAGGGGTGGAGGACACTGAGTGGAGGCCAGTGGAGGGCTTGGAAGAGAGGGGAGGCAGATACAGAACAGTTTAGTAAGGTGAATGATTCTGGCAGCAGCATTCATAATAGACTGAAGAGGGGATAGCCTGCGATGAGGTCGGCCAATGAGGAGAGAGTTACAATAGTCAAAGCAAGAGATAACAAGGGAGTGAATAAGTTGCTTAGTAGTTTCCGAGGTTAAGAATGGGCGTATCTTGGAGATGTTGTGGAGGTTGGAGATGTTGCGGAGGTGAAGTCTACAAGATTTGGACAGTGATTGGATTTGGGACTGAAAGGACAGATGGGAGTCTAGGATTACACCTAGTACCCTGGCATGAGGGGAGGGACTGATGGTTGTGTTATTGATCTTGATGGAGAAGTCGGGGGAGGGGGCACGGGCTGGAGGGAATACTAAGAGCTCAGTTTTTGAAAGATTGAGATTGAGGAAGTGGAGTGACATCCCTGCCGATATTTCGCTTAGTAGGTTAATAATGCGAAAGGAGACTGAAGTGGTGAGGTGAGGGGTAGAAAGATAGATTTGTGTGTCATCAGCATAGAGATGGTACTTAAAGCCATGGGAGTTTATCAAATGACCAAGGGAGGTGTAGATGGAGAATAGTAGGGGTCCAAGGACAGAACCTTGAGGGACACCTACAGAAAGAGGGAGTGGAGAGTTATAGGTGACACTGAAGGAGCGCTGAGATAGGCAGGAGGAGAACCAGGACAGAGCAGAGTCTCGGAGGCCAAGAGAGTGGAGTTTGTTGAGGGAGAGAAGGGGATGGTCAACAGTATCAATAGCCGCAGAGAGGTCATGTAGTAATATATGGAGTAGTGGCCATTGGTTGGGATGAGTGCGGAGTAGCGGCCATTGGTTGGGATGAGTGCGGAGTAGCGGCCATTGGTTGGGATGAGTGCGGAGTAGCGGCCATTGGTTGGGATGAGTGCGGAGTAGCGGCCATTGGTTGGGATGAGTGCGGAGTAGCGGCCATTGGTTGGGATGAGTGCGGAGTAGCGGCCATTGGTTGGGATGAGTGGGAGTAGCGGCCATTGGTTGGGATGAGTACGGAGTAGCGGCCATTGGTTGGGATGAGTACGGAGTAGCGGCCATTGGTTGGGATGAGTACGGAGTAGCGGCCATTGGTTGGGATGAGTACGGAGTAGCGGCCATTGGTTGGGATGAGTACGGAGTAGCGGCCATTGGTTGGGATGAGTACGGAGTAGCGGCCATAGGATGGGATGAGTACGGAATAGTGGCCATAGGATGGGATGGTACGGAATTGGTTGGTGGGGTCCAGGGAGGGCTTTTTAAGTATGGGAGTGATGTGCGCATGCTTTAGGGGGGAGGGGAAGGCACCAGTAGAGAAGGAAAGATTGAAGATGAAGATGTGAGGGAGCATAGGATGGAAGAAGACGGTGACCGTAGTAGTTGTGAGGGGACAGGATCCAGGGGGCAGGTAGTGAGACGGGCTTCTGAGGAAACCTTAGTGACCTCTTCGGTAGCAGCAAGGTCAAAAGAGTAAAGTGTTGAGGGAGGTTTAGTATAAGGTATGCTAAGTGGGATGGATGTCTGTGCAGTGGAGATGTCCCTACGAATTGCATCAATCTTGTTTTTGAAATGATCTGCAATCTCGTGAGCAGTGAGTGAGGTACTGGGTGGAGGTGGAGAAAGTTGAGAGTTAGAAGTAGAGAAGAGACGACGAGGACTGGATGACAAGGTATTGATGAGAGTGACAAAGTAGGCTTGTCTGGCAGCATGGAGGGAGGAATTGTATGTGAAGAAAGCCGATTTATATCGGGTGAATGCTTGGTGAGATTTGGTTTTACGCCACATTCGCTCCAGCACACGATTATGTCGTTTAAGATTTCTGGTGTTCTCAGTCTGCCAAGGTTGTAATGATCGGGGCCTGATGCTTCGTGTGGTTAGAGGAGCAAGTGAGTCTAATATGGATGAAAGCAAAGTGTTGTAGACAGCACGGCCCTTAGATTGTACACCCCTTGAGGGTTAGGGACTGGTGGGAATGTACAATATATATGTAAACTGACGGCGCTATATAAGTACCTGGAATAAATAATAATAATACACCCAGATCATCGATGACGAGGAGGAAGGTTCGGTCACAGATGATTGGTCCGTCTATAGCAGGGACAGGAGCCGGGACCAGGAATAGGAGATCCACCTAACTTACCCGTGTGCTCTGACATGGAGAAGATCCCATGCTGGCCCTTTGGTGGCCGTGTGTTCAGGATGGAGACCGATTATCTCATGGAGCTTCTGAAAGCAGATCTAAAATGGCCGAAAGGAGGAAAGTGTTCCCGGGAAAGGAAGTGACAAAAACAGGAAGTGACACGGACAGGAAGTGACACGAACAGGAAGTGATACAGAGGGTGCAGTATGGAGAGCAGACACTAGATGGTGCTGATCCAAAAAAAGTTGAATAGCATAAAACAACAGGGAAAAAGACCTGAAAAACAAAAGAAGACAAGAAGTGTGAAAAGAACACAGAAAGAGGACAAAGCACAAACCCAGCTGGGACTCCGTGCTGTCTGAGCTGAACTGTTGGGGAACCAAAACAGTAAAATAATGGAATAAAATAAACAAAAGAGTAGTGAGCTGGTTGTTGCCATTAGTGAGGAGGTGAGCTGTGCTGGGTTCGGGTTTGTAGAGCTTTAACCACTTGAGCACCTGAGGATTTACCCCCCTTAATGACCAAGCCTCTTTTTGCTACTTGGTGCTGCACTAATTGAACTGATAATTGCGCGGTCATGCAATGCTGCACCCAAACAAAATTTACGTCCTTTTTTTCACACAAATAGAGCTTTCTTTCGGTGTAATTTGATCACCTGTGCGCTTTTTATTTTTCACGCTATAAACAAAAAAAAAGGCCAAAAATTTTGAGGAAAAACAATATATTTTTACTTTCAGCTATAAAAAATATATAGTAAACTCAAAGTTGGTTATAAATTTAGGCCAAAATGTATTCTGCTCCATGTTTTTGGTAAAAAAAATTCCAATAAGTGTATATTGATTGCTTTGTGTGGAAGTTATAGCGACTACAAACTATGGGATAGATAATAGAATTTACGCCATTTTTCTGCTATACAGCGCTGCGCTAGTTTAACAGACAATTGCGCGGTCATGCAATATGGTACATAAATGAAATTTACATCATTTTTTTTCCCACAAATTGAGCTTTCTTTCAGTGGTATTTGATCGCCTGTGCGGTTTCTATTTTTTGCGCTATAAAAAAAAAAGGCTGACAATTTTGAGGAAAAAAAAAACAATATTTTGGACTTTTTGCTATAAAACATGTCCAGTAAAAAAAAAATGCAAAAATCAAATTTAGTCATAAATTTCTGCCAAAATGTATTCTGCGACATGTCTTTGCTACAAAAAACCCAATACGTGTAAATTAATTGGTTTACGTGAAAGTTATAGCGTTTACAAATGGGGGGAAAGATACTGGAATTTTTAATTTTTATTTATACTAATAATGGCGCCGATCAGCGACATATGGCGGCGACCAGTGACTTATGGCAGGACTGCGGGACAGTGGCGGACATTTTGACACTGGGGGGGAACTGACTTGGGGTCACTGACATCCCCAGTGACACCAATACAGTGATCAGTGAAAAAAAAACACTGAAACTGTACTAATGTCACTGGGGAGGAAGGGGTTAACATTTTTAGAATTTGCAGTGTAAGGGGAGTGTTTTACTAGGGGGCGGGGGTGTGTACTGGACGAGGGGAGGGAGGGGGGGGAGCTGATCGAGGGAGAGAAACTCTGCAGCTTCTCACAAGCTGTCAGAGAACTGACACAGAACAGGGCTGTGTGTAAACAATGTAGCCCTGCTCTGTGTTAGCGATCACCGGCAATCGCAGGAAAACGGCCAGTAAAAACCGGCCGTGACCCGTCGGCTGACACCTGCTGCAGACACCCGCAGGACAGGTAGGGCGGGCACGCGCCTTGCGCGCGCCCCCTACCTGTTTTGAAGGCAGCCGTTTTAAAACGTGCTTTTGCCTACGAACGCCGCCCTGCCACCGTTTATATGCGGCGGCGGGGCGGCAAATGGCTAAATAAGTTTGTACGCCAAATTTGTGTTCCAATTAAACAAAAAAAAAAATTAATGGGAGCCAAATCTGTCAAATAAAAAAATGCCTATTTTCTGAACTAATAGGCAAGGGGTGTCAACAACAGCATGGGGGGGGGGGGGGGGGCACTGCCCTGGGGAACATTTACCTATTCATGAGAAAAACAAATTTCCATTCAGCCAGGTTAAAGTGAAACATTAAACATCTCCAATTCCTTTAAATTCCATTTCTTGGGGGTCCTAATCATGGGGGGTTCTAATCCTGGGTGGAGTCGTAATCCTGGTAGGGGGTCCTAATCCTGGTAAGGGGTCCTAATCCTGGGGGTCCTAATCCTGGGATGGGTCCTAATTCTGGGGGAATCCTGACCCTGGGGGGTCCTAATCCTGGGAGGGTCTTAACCCTGGGAGGGATCCTAATCCTGGGAGAGTCCTGATCCTGGGGCGGTCCGAACCCTGGGGGAGTCCTAACCCTGGGGGGGTCCTAATCCTGGGCAGGTCCTAACCCTGGGAGGTCCTAATCCTGGGGGTCCTAACCCTGGGAGGTCCTAATCCTGGGAGGTCCTAATCCTGGGAGGGTCCTGACCCTGGGGGGTCCTAATCCTGAGGGGTCCTAACCCAGTGAAGGGACATTTCTGTGATATACAGAAAGTGCTGCAGCAGCGCTGACATTTACAAGGGAAATAAAGGGGATGAAATTGCAGCAAATGACATTTCATTGACGGCTTCTATTTTTAGAGAAAAGCAAATCAGCCCCTAGAACCCTCCGAGGGTCCGTTATGTACTTTGGGGGTCTTTGGAGGGGGGTGTGCGCTGACAGTGACATGCCATTGTTGTATTACATGCCACACTAAGAATGACAAGAACAAATGTTGGCAGAGTCCCCCCTAAAGTCACAGCAGACCCTTTGAGTCTAGTATGGATTTAAGGGGTACCTTAGGCCTGAGGTCCCTCAGGACACCCATGGTGGGCCCACAGGGTCTGCTAAAGACTTGACCTCCTCGCCAACCGGGGGGATTTTTACATTTCTCACATACATGGGAAAATCATAATTTTATTCTGGAGATGTATATTATAGATTTTCTGTATATATAGATATATTATAGATTTTCTGGAAGAACAAAATGGCGGCCGTCGCAATGTTTTTATGTCTCGCGATATTTGCACAGCCGTTCATCAAATCCTGATTTTTCAGGATAAAATTCTCTAAAATGGACTCGTGCAGAAAAACACAATATATGACCCGATTTATGGGGTAAAATATAAACGATGATGTTGCGTCAGGTGAATAATTACCAAACACGTGAAGATGGAAAACTGCTCCCACCTGTGAAATGGCGACAAATTCCAGGAAATAAAATGGTCCGCAGGTGAGGCTTTACAGGTGAATGATGAATGACGACCCCAGAATGATCATCACTCCGACGTTTGCTGCAAAACTTTGTTAGGATGGATTGTCAATGTGTTCAGGAATTTCCAAGATGGCGGCTCGTAAACTGCCTGTTTAGCAGCTTGACGTCATTGGCCCACTCTACATGTTACATCACATCACGTGACTTCCTCAGGAGTTGGCCATCGGACGTACAGCTGCCTATATATACCATTATAATCCTTAATAGACTAATTGGGCGCCATTATGTTGTAGCCTGTCTGTCCCTTATTCGGCCGCCATTTTCCCTTGGTCTAATTTAAATTATAACTCAGTTATGACATTACAGTGCAGTGGATTAGCTCGCCCCGCCTCCATTATGTTGTAGCCCGCCTTTCCCTCTTTCGGTGGCCATTTTTCCTTGATCTATTATAGATGAAACACAGTTATCACATTACAGTGCAGTGGATTAGATCTCCCTCCTCCATTTTGTTGTAGCCCTCCTGTCCCTCCTCCGGCGGCCATTTTCTCTTAGTCTGATATGAATGCTGGCACATTTTGTCCCCTGATATTACACATTAGCCGGGTGATTGTATACACACAGCGGGCAGATCTCAATCAATGTCACCCACTAGTCTATACTGTCACGGGGTTGGCCAGCCAATCATGTGGCTCCTATTCTGTCCTTCCAATGACCATTCCTAGTACATAGGACTCATCTTCCATACTACATTCATGATACAACAAGATGGAAACTCCCAATATACAGAGAAAATCTCCCATAAAATACATAGAAATCACATCTGCCCTAAAGGGCCATAAACATAAGAAGATTGCCCCCGACGCCCCCAGATTCGTCCCCCTAATACACGGATAGTACCCCAATCCTGCATTCATACATGTGACAATACACCATGGATTCCTCCCGCTCTATATTATGTCTCCATACAAATCAGTCGCCATCCAATCCATCCATCTCACAAAAGCTCCAATACCCAGCAAATGTTTCC